TTTACAATTCAATGTTAAAGTTATTATATATTTTTAGATAATATTTATAATCATTATAAATTTAGATACATTTAATAATTAGATTTCTTCACAGTGACTTTCACAGGAATTTGTGAATGAATAAATCCTTCATTTCAAATACATTTATAAATAATTTAATAAATATTTACGTATTTTATTAAAGGCAGATACATGCGTTTTGCAAGCATATGCATAAATACCCATACATATTTCAAACTTTTCATTTTCGGCATGTACAAATCTTTAATTTATGTGCATTCACAATCTTTTTTGAGTAAAGTAATTTACAATAATTTAGCATATACCTTAAAGTTTTACATGAGAAATTTGTACAAATATAATTTGAATGAAAATTACATGCACTATTTTAACACCCATTCAAAAGTCAGTTTTTCTTCGAAATTCCTTCACAATCACATCTCTCTTTTTAGGCAAATAGCCCTTGCATGGCTTACTCTATTTAATAAAAACTTAACCTGACCTATGTGCCTAATTACAAATATTCTAACATGCACAATTTTATATTTACAATTAGCCATCAAGTTTCAAACTTTTGACTTAAAACACGTTTTAGGGTGCATTCATTATCCAATTCAAATCTTCTAGTAAAGATATTTTGGTAAAGCACTCAATGCCTTTCCTTTGTTGACAAATGTTTTCACCTCCGTCGATCACCCTATTTTTAAATTCTTAATAAGCTGTCTTTAAGGTGTGGCACGTTCACATGGTCACATCATTTTGACCGCACACGGTACTTTCGAAGAATTTGTAAATGCATACATCTTCTGTTCCACACATTTGTGTAAAACTGTATATAATTTTACACAAATGCGTGGTTACAAATCAAGGAAAAGTTAACTTATTGGCACATCTGTGTGTATATTTATGAATTTTGACGAGGATTGCAGCAATTGGTGGTAATTTTATTTTTTAATTAACCCAAATAAGTAATTAAACCAAATAAGTAAAAAGTATAAACCCAAAGTGATTATTTTTCAGTCATATAAAAATTAAATGATGTATTTAAAATGAGCAACTATATAGCCTCACCTCTTAAAATTAAAAAAAAAAAAAAATACATGTTACAATAATATATCGATGACAAAAAAATATTTTATTTAAAATATTTGGGCGTTTGGAACGTAAAATAAAAGTAGTGAATTCTCTGTCAAGGGTATGGAAAGACTATACAATTTTAAGGGTACCGTAAGATATTTTTATTCTTTGAGCATACAATTTTTGCTAAAATCTGTATTTTGTAGTTCAACAGCTTAGAATTTTATAAAACAAATTCATAATCAAAATCGCTGTTGTTAGTTATCGAAAAATAACCAAGATAATATAATAAAGTTATTATTACCATCAATAATAAAAGATGTGTTTTGCGTAAATGTCTTAAACTATACCAATTGCAAATAGGGGACCGGAAAGTAATGTCGTTTCTGCGTGCGCACGTCGACAACAACATGCTAAGGGCAGAAGTGGAAGCAAATCCATGTCAACCACTCTTAACCAACCTTGGTCGACCGTCCAAGAGTATTTAAAGCAGATTGGAAAAATAAGCAGGTGTTTGAGTCCCCTATAATCTGTCCGAAGAGAACAAAGCCACCCGATCCAATCACATGCAAAGTATTGCTTCAACGGCACGATACAGAACCGTTTTTTGATCGCTTGATTACTGGAGACGAAAATTGGGTTCTATATGATAATGCAAAATTCAAAAGGCAGTTTTAATAGGAGTTACAAAGGGTTTGCATCCCAAAATGGCGCTTCTGTGTGTTTGGTGGAGTATTCGCGGAATTGTTCATTTTGAATTGCTGAAAACCTGGACAAACTGTTAATGCAGATCTTTATAGTGAACAATTGGATCGAGTGAACCAATCTTGAATCGAAAAATATCCGGCGACTGTCAATAGAAAAGGCATCATTCTACAATACGACAATGCAAGACCGCACTGTGCAAGACGGACACTGGAAAAAATGAATTAATTGGAGGAATGAATTGAGCATCACCCACCATACTCGCCCGATATTCTACTTCGGATTTCCATTTATTCCGATCCCTACAACGTTTTCTTAGTGCCTGAAAATTTGAAAATTTGAATGAAGTCCAAAATGTCATTTTGAGATATTTTACTCAAAAACCAATTGATTTAAATCGGTACGGGGATTGAAAATCTGCACACTACAGTTATCAAAAGGTTGTTGATAACGAGGGTGATTACATTATTGATTAAAAATAAAAACGTGTTAAAAATTTACGTGAATTTAATGTAAGAAAGCGACATTACTTTCCGATCCCCCTATTATTATACATCACGCAATGAATGTTTCTTTTATACCCCCGTCCCGTTTTTCGATTTGTATGGAACTATCGCTTGTCGAAGTACTATCAATGGGAGCTTCTGAATGTAAACAAAAAACACCCCATCTGGAGACCGAAGCCTAGGAGCAGAACTTTACTCTTAGGCCAGGTTTGTCCCCTCCTTCCTTTTTTACCTCCATGGTGTTTATCATAGATAAAACCGCAGGGCGATTCTAAAGAGCCAATACTAATAAAAGTCAACCACAATAATCTTTTCTACCCAAGACGTTTAGCTTCGATATGTTCCTAATAAGTGCGCATCTTTTTGTTTTTTATGTAAACCTTATAATCGATATGCTACCATGATCTTAAAAACGTTCTATCTCCACTTTTGCATCAATTAAAAGAAGGAAAATCCTAACTTTGAAGTATGTCAGGAATAATTTGGTGTGAAATTTGTCAGCATAATGCTAGGGATCATCTAGCAAGTTCACGAAATTGCAACAATAAATTTGCAAGTCTCCCCTCCTGTAGACAGTTTTACGTAAATTTGAGAATCATTGATAATTTCAATATTTAAACGAGTTAAAAAAGAATTAGAGTATTAAAAGTTTTAACTGAATTTACGTCTTTCGTGATCCGGTTACGAATGAATTCAAGAAAGAATTGACAAAAAGCATGGCTTTTTATGACGTAAATGAATGTTTATGACAAAGTGAATAACTTTAAATACCTGGTTGAAACCCAGCTGGCCCCAAGGGTTGAAGAACTTCATCTGCAAAATGTATGCTGTGGAACTGCTTATAGTATATGGACTTAAAAGTTTAGCCACAAAACAAGCACTTTTTTTAGCAAAATGTGGATGCAGATAGCCTTCTTGTCTAAGTAATTCAATTTTGGGTGAATGCTACCCACTCTTAAAATTGTGACAGTTTGAGAATTATTTTTTTTTTTCATTTTCCAGTATCTCATCGTTTAATAATTTTAGAGGAACTGTTTCAACTTATAAGAAATCCTTTGTAGCTTTTAATGGATCTCACAGAATACAGACCTTCTTAACCATTAGTCATTTTAATACTGTCTTAGTCCAAAAATTCTTTTCAGAGAATATGGATAAAAATATTTAAAAAAATATTTGCATTCGAAACTTAGTTTAACTTTTTTATAAAAAAATTTAAAATAGAAATATATTTATGAATAATAGTTCTTGAAGACACAAATATCATTAATCACATTTTCTGAACAAAAATCAAAATCTGAAACAGTGTAAATTAAAATTAGTTTATGTGCATTTCATTTATTTATTTTTTAATAATCATTATCCTTACTACTTCTAATTTATTTATGTTCTGTATATTTCTTTTTCCTCCTTGTAAAGAACGATTATATCTAGTTACAACAATTAATTATTACTTCAACATATATTATTTTCAATTTGCAAAAGAAGTTTATACGTTTCATTTCCTTGAAAATATATTTTATAAGAAGAACGCCATTCAAGGTTAAATTTTAAACGGTTTTAAAGCAATTAACTTGTAAGTATGTCTTAACTTCTACTTCTAAAACTAATAGTGATGCTTCTTAGTCTAAAGCTTATGAGTCGTATATAGTACGTTTTCATAGGTTGAAGGCAACTAAAATTTTAGACCCTTTTCTGTACAGTATAAATACTAAGGTGGTGTGGTGTATTTAATTATGCCAAAGCACACTAGGGCTATCTGCCTAAGGGGAGGGATGCCTTTCGTGGAGGACTTTCTAAGGGAAACTGGCTCGTATACACGTTACACATGGGGAAAGCCACGAAAAACACCCATGCATCCAGCCCGTTCGCGGGATTCGAACCTCGGACCGAACTACCAGTGTTCAGCGTCTTTACCGCTCGGCCGCTGGTGGGCCCATAAATACTAAGGATTTCATTTATTAAATTGTAAAATATCGGCAACTTCTGAAAGCAAACCATGCTAATAAGGTTAGTGCAAAAAATATCTAATCCGGCTCTAAATTGCAGTTTAATAGTTATTTCAGCATTGAATTTGGCTAATCTTTGGAATATGGTAACAGGTAGTTTGGCGACATTTGGGTAAGGCGATAAAGGTTACTAGCCAGGACTTTAGCAGTGTACATGGATATAGTCAAGAGTGTGCGCAATGCCATTTTTGTGCAATTCTGGGATGTTTTTTGAAGTGAAAATAGGTCGACGTGTACATGGATGATACCGTGTATGTGCAATTCGTAAAAACGCGGCAAGCAGTGAGCGATTCTGCACTTTGTCCCGATTTCGCACCTAATCTTCGTCATGATTAAGCACTTTTGTTCCATAAAAGTTCTAGTATAAGCGTAATTCGGCTAGCGGATTGTTAGAAAAAAATGTTGGAAATGTTGAGTAAAAAAAAAAAAAAGAAATATGCCTTTACTTCGTGAAAACAAAATGGCGTCCAAACAAAAACTAGCAGGTTGCTGTAGCAGGGTGGGTGGCCAAATTTTTGCCAAAAAATCGCCAAGTTACCATAATTCAAAGATTAACCTTTAATGTTTTATCAAGAAATTTTTCATTTTTCTTGGAATTAAAGTAACAACACACATTTATTAAGTTTTCGAAAGTAATTTTTCCAGTTGAAGTAATTATGTTTGAATTTTTAGCAAAAGTAAAACAAATTTTTCATTTGACTTGCAGCCATACAGCTGCCTTCCATACGGTGATGGGCCGTTTCATACAGCTGTAACACTTTGCGGCGTTGCATATCCTGCAGCTTGTCTCCTGGCCATGTTCTGGGAGATCAGATCAATTCCATCCCTCTCTTGGATATCCATGGTCGCCACTCTCGTCTCGCTGTACGCTGTAGTGACAGCAGTAATGTCACCTCACCCGCCACTCTTGGATTCGGAGGTCGGACCTCCGCTGGTAGTAAGTACAAAAAAAATCTTCATTTATACATGGAATTCATATAATGCCCTTGTGAGAATAAATTAGCAACTGCATCGATATTTTTTAATAAAAAAGAGACAAAAAGGGTATATGGTCCTTCGGCTAGAATTTAGGTAAAGAATATTTGTTACTCACTCTGCATTCAATTTTATTGTTTAATATAATTAAAACTGATTTGGAACGAAGATCGAATTCCTCATGTAAGTACATTGGATTATAAAGTTTCTCTTAAAGCTGTAACTTTTAAGAAACGATGTTTAAACAGAGCAGTAAAACAAACATATTTCTTATAAAAAAGATCATTTAGGAATTAAACTCAGCTTTTAACAAAAGTATTTAACACATTTTGTATGTGTTTGGTTACGCTGTAGGAGCTTTTAAATATTCAGGGTTATTTTTTATTTTGTTAAACGCCGAAATTACTGATATCTCTGGATTATTAGTAGTATGCTTGTCACAGAAATGAAACTAATTCTGCAATGGGAAGCCTTGTATGGATTAACTTTAGAATTAATAGAGGACGTAGAGTTTGGAGAAGGTCAAAGGACCTCCCAAAGGCCGAAAAGCGAATCTCTTCTGACTTCTTGTATTTTATTTAAGGTTTTAGAAAGAAGGTTGTAGTTGAATGATCTGGAGCTGTTCGCTCTGGAACGATGTAAGATCGTTCTTAGATTGAAAATCGAAAGCCGATCCTGTTAATCTATTTCTGTCCTTGGCTGATCCTTACGTGGTGCAGTAACAACTTGCTATAGTATTGCTATTGCTATAGCACGCAACAAAATGCTATTGCTATACCAAATGTATGACAGATGCAGGACATTAAAAAGAAATCATTCTTAATTTTCGAATCACATTAAGCTTATTTCGAAATTTCGCCTGTACCCACTGGTCATATGAAAATTTAAAGTAATGCAGCGCAGTCACTATTATCAGAAAGATTTCTGATGTAAAATTTTAAAATTCGTCTGACGATGATTCCAGGAAATGTGTGAGAATGGAATTATAAATACGGTAAAAGAAGTTCTTCGAAATCTTTCCATCAACTTCTTCCTGGTGTTCGGCCATTTAGTTACTGGATCTTGTCACTTCTTGCAATCATGTTTTACTTGTGATCAGCTTAATTACTTGGAGATGATGAAGTAACTGAAGTCGCTCAAAAGGAGATTAGAAGTGAAGCCGAGTAAAAGGAAGTCGAAATAGATGCTGATATGGGAAATATTAGAATTTCTAAAATGGAAAAAAGCTTTAGATGCTTTGAAATTGCACTATCCTGGTCTTGAATCATAATAAACTATTTACGTGCGCAAATGGCATTGAGATATTTATAAAAATAAAATAGCTTGTTGGATAAAACAGTATTGAACGAGACATAATTTTTTTAAAAAATACACACTCTTGACAGTGTTTCTTTCATTTCATTGAAAACATAAAATACTTTTAAAGTAAAATTCTCTTAAGGGGACTCGTACACCTTAAAACCCATAAGATCTTCGAATATGTGACTGTGGCAAGAATTGGGACAAAAATTTTCGTCATGTTTCCACCTTGCGCGCACAGTTTAAAACATTCTGTTGCATAATGTAATTCCATATTTAATATATAGCTTTTATAACATTTGTAAACTACTGTGAACCAAAAATTCTAAGAATTTCATGTTAAATTTTTATTTTATTTGGAGTCGAGTTTATAAAATGCATTTTATTAAAAAAAGTCTGTAATGTTTTATCCATAAAATTTTTTAATATTAAAATATTCATCAGATTTTAGGTTCAGTTAAATAATAGGACTCATATAAAGAATTCCATCCAATTTCAAGTATGTACCATTAACCATTTTTAAAATATCGTGCGCGCAAGGTGGAAACGTGACGAAAACTTTTATCACAAAGTGGATTAAATTACGAAAATATCTGTGGCAACACAAACTTTCTGCTTACTACTTTTCAAAGCTGCTATTTTATGTAGTCAACTGTAAAACGTTGGAAGTAATTGATTTTAAAATAAAGAAAATATCCCAATTCTTGCAACAGTCACTTATTCGAAGGGTGTCGAGGTGTTTAAGGTGTATGAGCCCCCTTAATGCCTGAAAAATAAATGTATATTCATTGAGATTATATAATGTAACGATCGTAAATAAACAATTCATTTGAAGTACAGTAAACTCCGCATTTACTAAGGCAATACTGGGAGAAACGTTTACCAATAACTACACACACACAACACAAGAATAACTTATTTTATATTAACAAACCATTAATAGAAAAATAAAGTTAACAATTTATCTATATTTTCAGACAAATTTAATATGGAGAACAGGTTCATGTAGTTATCAGAATTTAATCAATACTGAAAGCAAAAAGAACAGGTTGTAAATTGTGGAAGAATAAGCATCATTAAAAATGAAGAAGCTAAATAATATTAAAGAATATAAGCGAGTTGAAATTCGCGTATAAACTGGTTGGCTAAAGCCTTTTCTTTTATGTTGCACAATATTTATAGAATCTGGATTATGTTCACTTGAATTATGTTAGGAATAATACCAATTTCAGCATTATCATGTAATTTACTATCTTAAATTCTCATGACTTGTGATGGTAATTTTTCCTTCGTTTCGCATTAAAAGGAATTTTCTACTTTATTTTATTTTGATAGAGCCCAGTTAATTCGCAACTCAGTTAATTTACTGTCAGTTAACTGGAGGTTAATCATATTTTAAATCCGAATTAATCGATGATCTTTTAGTGTTCCTCCCTTTTATTCTATGTGTTGAGGAGCCTAGTGAGTTGAGGAACTATGTGTTGAGGAGCCTAGTGAACTACTAAACGAATAATCACTTAAGTCCAAAAACAGAAACATAAACTCAAAGAAGGGCTAATGACCCTTCATTTGCTCCAAATAAAGATATATAGTCGGCCCCTTTCTCAGGGCGTACAACAAAGTCTCCACTTGGGCTTAAACACAAAATGTAAGAAATAAGAACTAACTAATGACTAAGTAAAGAAATTTAGCTAAAGCTAACGCAATTCTAACCTAGTTGGCCCATAATATTAAACTATCCAGCGTAGCTATCCAAAGGCACTAATACGGCCGAACGTATTAACGCTTAGAGAGACGTGGCCAAAAGGCAAAAGCTCTCTATTCAGGAATTCTAAAACTCTCTCTCGAACACAGTGGAACTTAAATACGTTCTACTTCTCATTTTCATTTAACGCGATTCTAAAAACTCATTCTGGTAAGGAATTACAAGCGGAAACTAGAAGAGATAAGAGAGGTTCATAAACTTAAAATAGCTGTTATAAAATTAGGATATACCTTATAAGGTATTTTTCCCACTTCCCTAGCGTGCCTTCGTGGTGTAACGGTAGCACGCTGGGCCGGTATTCCAGAGGTCCATGGTTCGATTCCCGGCGAAGGCGGTTGCATATTTTTCATCTTTCCTGCTTCCAAAAAAATCCTAATGTCTCTACAGTGGCGCCCGAACTAAAAGGGTTGTGGATGATGATTCTCCCCACCCAGGATTTGGCGACTAGGTCCCCTAAAACCCTAGTCAGCCTTTAAAAATGGGAGTATATAAGGTATTTCTCCCACTTTCCTAGCGTCTTTCGTGGTGTAGTGGTTCAGTACGCTGGGACGGTATTCCAGAAGTTCGTGGTTCGATTCCCGGTGAAGGCGGTTGTTAATTTTTCATCTCTCTGGCTTCCCAAAAAAAAAAAAAAAAAAAAAAAAAAAAACCTAATGACTCTACAACCTTACAATCTATTAATCTGTTAATCGATGTACTATTTATTTATTAGTTCATAAATCAATCATCTGAATTTGCATCTGAAAACATCATCTGAATTTATTCAGGTCTCATTCAGACGCAATAATTGAAACTTTACTCTGCTTTGTGAACAGAATTTTAAACTTTTTAACGACCACTTAAAAGGGAATTTAAAATGTTTATACCTTTAAAACTACTGCTATTATTGAATAAACAATTTTACTTTGATGAATAGTAAGGATAAATGGAATAAATAAAATGAAACATGTACACATTACTATGCAGAACGATGGTGTCAAGTCTAACTCAACCATAGAAAATATAGTGTCAAATTCACTTCTGATGAAGAGATGACACTTGAAAAACTCTGGTGAGAGTGTACTTGACTGACGGAGCTAAGTTCTGTAAAGAAACAAAGAATAAAACACTTCTTTAATTAAATGATAATATCAGGAGAAGTATCTTTATATACGCCATTTATTTTCCTTCAAGGAAGTTGAAAAACGGAAGGCATTTTTTTCTTTTGCGATGAATGTATGTACTCTTTTAATTTCAATTTATATTATTTTCCTTTTTGTTCAAAAGAGTTAAGAGTATCGAAACACGATTTTGCGTTGCTTCAGATTGAACGTCGTCCGCTGTAAATGAGTTGCTTCACATTTCATTTGCGTCTTCTGCCATTCAGTAAAATATAAATAAAAAATATACGATAAATTAAAATGAGGATATAAGATAAATTAAAATTAAAATTTACCTTTCAAACTTAATCTATCTGTTACTGATTAACAAACTCAACTGTTTGAAAGCAATTAATGCAGTTCTTAAGAATATTATTTTTTTACTTTTTAATCTGATGACTTTAAATAAAAATGCATTTAATTCTTGAAAACATTAAATATATTATAACAGCTTTACGTTATATACTTTTTCACTTTTCAAACAAAATGAAGTGATGTAACGTTCCCATGTTAGTCTAAATGCATATTCATCTAGTATCCTCTAAGAAACTTTGCTGTTCCATTTGGGTCATCTCTACTGATAATCTTTACTGATAAACCGTATTCAAATTTAAAAGAGCCCTTTTGAGCAACCGTTTAAATCTGAACCTTTTTAGGTTTTATTATTATTTTTATTATTTGGTCCTTTCGTAAAATTTTCATAGAATAATTTTTTTATTCATTTCTTTGGTTATATGATTACAATAAAATAATTTAGTT